AGCGGTTCATACGACGCTCACAGTCCCGTGCTGGCAACCAGAATTGGTCAATTCATGGCGTGGTGAGAACGCACACTGGCGGCTCCGTTTCATTTGCTGCACACGCGAAATGAATGGTAAGATTAATTTAAATGAAATATATCGTTAAATTCAGTTGTTGTTAATATATCTTTTTTCATTATAGGCTGCGTCTCTTGGACGTGAGCTGAGCTCGATGGAGCTGTTTGTGGAGACGCACGTGCAGAGTGAAGACCGCCAGAAGGGGGTGCAACAGTTCATTGATAACAGTACTCAACATTTCATGGTATGTTTGTTCAACCATTTTATTTTGTAAGTTATTATATAAGTTATTATGTTTCTTGAATTGAATATGATGATTACTTTTTTATTTTTTATTTTCAAGAGACCTACAATAATCGGTTAAGGGAGAGATACAGGGACGATATTTTGACCCATCCGAAATTCGATCCGGATTTGTGGATGGAGGTTGGCTCGTTAGGTGGACCCGATAAAAATCAGGTTTACGGGCTCTCCAACACTACGGCCGACAACTTGCGGTCGACCCGTAGTGTTTCAACCATTGGGAGCTCCCAATCAATATTGAGCTCCCAATCTAAAGGAGTTCGAGGCCTTGCAACAACACACAGCTCAGCTCACCGAGAAATACGACCACTTATCAGCGGAGTATGCACAACTTAAAGCGTCTCATACACAACAAAGAGCGGAGTCTGAGCAAATCAAAGCGTCTCAAGCACAACAAAAAACAGAGTATGAACAATAAAAAGTGGCTTATGAACAGCTTCGTGAAATGGTTATAAATATGACAAATAGTGGAACATGTGCGCCTAATCCTTTTTGGCCGTATAACCACCAGCCTCCTCTAGGATCTCCTCCTCCTCCTCCAGCTCCACCTTTATATTAATTTGTAATAAATATTATTTACCTTTAAAACTTCATTTAATATTTTTTTTGAAACATATTCAGTTTGTAATGAATATTATTTAACTTTGTTTTTTTTTGTTTAATATAAATTTTATTTGCATAATTGGTTTTTATTACAATTAATTTATATATTTTTATATTATATATCCTAAATAATTTTTTAAAAAAAAATTTAAAAAAAAACAATTACCAAGGATTTTACCGATTGATTCATTCGGTCGGCATTTTAAACACTTACCAACCGACTTACCGATAGAATTATTCCATCGACATTTAACAGTAGTTGCCACACTTACCGACAAATTTACAAATGGATATATTCGGTCGGTATTTCATACACTCACCGACAGTTTTACCGATGGTTAGTGTCCATCGGTAAATCACAATATCACCGACGGAATACAAATCTGTCGGTATATTTCAAGCGGGAATCTTTTTTTTTTGCGCACAAATTTCGTATGTAAAACCATCGGCAAATGGTTTTTTTTGTTTTGCCAACCGATATAGCAACGGAATGTTGAATTACCGACGAAAGGAAACCCGACGGACATAATCCGTCGGTGATGACGTCGATAAAAAAATCATTGACGAACTTCTAATCACACACCGATGTAATTTGTCCGTCAGTAAAACTGTAAAATCTTGTAGTGCTTTACCTTTACTCTAGATTTATTAATCTATTATTATATGAATATTAAAAATAAATTAAGTTTTTATTAACAATAAATATATATTTATATGAATATAATAATGTCATGTAGTCAATCGATTGATTATATAATATATTAAATTAACAGTATTTTGATATTAATTTACATGTCAATTGAAACTACAAATCATTTATGAACAATTTTAAAGTTGCAAACCCCGCATTATTCTAATACATCTTGGGGAATTATTTTTCAAAGTAGTGTTTGTAAGGTTCAAAATCAGGAGATTGAAAAATAAATAAGCTTTGATTGACTATCATACCTATCCCATAAGATTTGTTAATCATACTATACATGCATACCCATATGTATAGGGTGAAGAGGAATGGCACACACACTTTCCATCCAAAATTCTCATATAAAATCAAGAGCAGTTATTTATTTATTTATTTAATGATAGACCATTTATTTTTCATTTATGTGATTCATATTTTATGACTTATCGATTGTCACATAATTTATAAGTTTTCAGCATGAAAAGTCTTCATTAATTTGTAATTCGTTTTCCTAAGAAAAATCTTGGAAGTAAGATTCATTAGGGTACGTGTCTTAAACTCTGAATTGTTAGCAATCAAATTGTCAGAAGCTGAAAACTAGTAACGAACATAAATTAATTAATTTTGAAACAATGAACATAAAGCAGTTGCACACTAACAAAAACTAAGTAAAATATATAGAAGCCAAGTGGGAGGCAAGACACAGACACGGACGGAAGCAAGAAGACCGCAAAAGGGTGATCTTTTATTATCTCGATCCCTATTTTCTTGAGTAAACTTCTCCTTGAAGCCGAACTTGCTTATTGAACCTCTGAATGAACTCCTCAACTCTTCTATTTAAATCTTCATTGGACATATCTGCGTACTCATTTTTTACGTCATCAGAGTCTGGTAGCTCATAGTTTTCAGTTTCTATTCTACGTATAATGTTCTTACTCTCATCAATCACCACCCGCTTAACAATCTCCGACTTGCTACGTTGTAAAGCTTTTGCTACAACAGCCTTCTTCTTGTGACGAATAGCTTCACCACTTCTTACGGCACTAGTTTCTAGCCTCTTTCCCTCCTGGGAATTAAAGGAGGAAGGATTTTCATGCTCAACACTTTCGTGAACAATTGGCAATTTTCTTTGGTGGGCAGCTCTTGTCTTTTCTCGACTCTCTTTATTTACCGTTTCTTCATTCAAGCGTACTGTCTTGATAAATTCCGAGTATGATGATGAGGGGGATGTTGGAACACTTCTTTGCCTCCTCATTACCACGTGCTCTTCATAAATATCATGTTTATTAATGCCTTTTGACGAGGAAGAGAATGAACCATAATCCACAGCAATGCTTAGGACGAGAGTGTTGGAAATGAAGAACCAAAACTTAGGGTTGTTTAAGGGGAGAGATTGAAAATATAGAAAATAGAGATATATATAGAGAAAAATAGAGAAAAGGAAGGCAATGAATGGCCCTCCCTTAGCTATTCGTGGGTAGTCTTTAGATTTGAAGGCATTGATTGAGCCTTTAGCTAAATTTGTTGGTGGTTTCTCCATTTCCAGAGGAAGAGATGAGGTTCGGAGCGATTATAGGAGAGTTATACAAGGAAGGCCTTTGTTTATTATTTAGTGGTTGGTGAAGATCCAAGTATTAAGGGCCTATAATAAGGGATCAAGTAGGGTGCCAAATAACTCCTTTTTTTAAATTTTTTTTTTATTGGTACTTATCATTAACTCCTTACAATCATATAACAATATTTAGATTAAAAATAGCTAATGACAGAATAGTTTTGACCAACTCCCGAACATTGCAACATCAACACATCGGTTTAAGAAAAATAAAATAAAAGGAACAAATTTTGTATGGAAGAAGCAAAAGGCGGTTAAGGTGGGAGATAGCGGGAAAATAAACTCTTCATTTGTTGCTGTTCACTTAGCTAGTTATTCTAGTTTCATAGTACTCGCTACATATAGCGAGCACTGTTCAACTCCTCAAATGAAGGTGTGAGATAGCGGGAAAATAAACTCTTCATTTGTGGCTGTTTTAGAAAGGTGTTTGTGTGGAGTTGGAGTCGTGGATGGGTTGAACGGCGCTGCTAGCTGTTATGGGTGGAGGAGAAAGAGAGTGACAGGGTTGCGGAAGCTGCCGTCGCCGGCGTGTAAGGGCAATGCCGCTACCGTTGGCCGTGAGAGAAATAATGGACAGTGGAGGGGCTTTCAAATATGAGAACGATGATTTTGTGTGAGCTTTTGGGTGTTGCTGGGACTATGGGTAAATGGGTCTGAATGGAGGTTGAAACTTCGACTGGACTTTTGTGTTAATAACCACTGGAGAAATGGTGGAGGGCCGGCTGCGCTGGGTGGTTCACGACGTGGAGAGATGAAGGAAATGTGTTGGTCTTAAAATAATAATAAAATATTGATGACTTTTTATCTTAAATATCACGAATGTAATAATTTTATTTTTAACTAGACATTTAAAATAATTTGAGTAATTGAAATAAAAAAATATTTTTTTATATTTTTTTATTTGTTATTAAATAGTATTAGTATTGATTATGAAATACTAATATTTAATGAAATTTAAAAAAATTAAATTTTATTCAAATAATTAAATACTATAATATGAAAAATAAAAATAATTTAATAAAATAAACATATTTCATGTTATAATATACAAATTATAACATTCTTGATGAAATACTATTAATTATTAAAAAAATTAATCACTTAACAGTTAAGTTAAACTATTTATAAATTTTTTTATATTTAAAAGGTCATATAACATGGTATTAAATATTATATTTAATTTTCAAATATAAATCAATAATTTTTAAATTAATAGTAAATTAAATTATTTAATTTATTAAATTATATTTTATTAAAAATTGTGATTTATATTTGAGTCAACTTATTAAGAAATCTAATAGGCCAGATTCATAAAAACATTATTAAAAAATTAAAATAAAATTATTAATTAAATATAACTTGATCGATGATTTATTTAAAAAACAAATTGGTATTGTCATTTATAAAGTTTTAGGTTTTTTATTAATAAAAAATGTTATACCTTTATTTTTTTATATATTATAATATAGAAACACCTGAAACACAAAAATAAAAAACTAGCATTTAAAGAAATATCAATTTTTCTCTTCTAAAAAGATATAGGAGATTTATTATTAATAATTTATATAAATTATTATTAGAGATCAAACATTTAAGTAAGTTGTGATATATAATAACTTAGTTTCAAAACAAATTATTAATGAAAAAAAATCTAATTTTTAAGTAATTTTTATATAAATTTTAAATATTTTAAATTTTTTCCAACAAGATATTTGAGACTGTTATAATTTAAAATTTATCTTTTTCATTGCATTTATTTTTTACAGCAAATCTAACATTAATATTAAAGTTTTTGTTAAACAAGTACGTTATTAATTGGACGTTTTAATTGTTATTAGTATTGGTTGTGAATTACATTCATGTGCAAAATTTATTTTTCTAGAAAAAAGAAATTGGGTACTGTTCCAGCCAAATCTAGCTGGATTTTTGAATTTGGGCAAAATAGGCAGATCTTGTTAGAAATTGGAAAAATAAATAAAAACATTTTAAAGGTCGCTCAGCTGCCAACATGGTTGGCGTGCTTGGCAATGCTATGTGCATAGCTAGTGGTCCGTGACAGTAAAGAGAGCAGCAATGGGCTGCTGCCCCACTAGGAGCAGAGCTTGGCGTTATTGATAACAGCCCTCCACGAGGCAGCTGCCTCATGCAAGGGGCTATGTGGTGTGAGGCTGCCACCTCGCATTGTTGGGCATGGCTTGGTGCAGTAATAGCCGCTACCTGGCAACTTGCTAGCAGTGGCAGTGTGCTAATGCCGACAGCTTCAAGTTGAGGTAGTTGGGCTGCAATCATGATTATGGCTGTGAGCTTTGTAAATTTTAAAGGGTAGAATTACCATCCTACCCTTACAACTTATACCTAATTCATGTAGGGTATAATTACAATTCTACTCCTTTATGTATAAAATATTGATTTTATATTTTAAAATTAAAATCATAAATAAAATTAATTATTCTAATTAGATTAGGATTGAATTAAAATTTTTAATTAAAGAATCATTGATTTTTTATTATTATAATTAGATTAGGATTTAATTAAATAATGTTTATATAAATGACTTTTATATAATAAAAGGAGTTTCAAGCCAAAAATTTTAATTTAATTGATCTAAAATGGTTTAGGACATTAACAAGAATTTGAATATGATTAATCTTCTTTTAAAATTTTAAAAAGTTATTTTTCAAATAAAAGCATGTGATAAATAAGATTTATTAAGTTCAGAAATTTATCAATGTAACTTGATTTTTTTTATTCAATTATGTAAATGTTACGTAATTTAGAAATATAGAAATTTAGATCAGAAATTTATTTTGTAATCTAAAATAAAGAAAGAATGGTGATGAATGATATAACCATGATACTTGTAAAGACTTGTAGCAACTGTCTAAATTTTGACCACCTAATTTTCTTCAATAGCTTGAGAGAATTAGTTTAAATATATCCATAATCATTCAATTAGAATAATATACTAGGGGTATGTGTTAATATATAATTATTGTGTGTGATATATTAATTATGTCATGAAATAATACCGAATTAAAAATTGATAATAAATTCTACATTAATATATTAAGTACATCTTGAAAAAATAATTTGATGCCTTTTGATTTTATGTGCATAAAATCAAATTTATATTCATATATAACTTGTTGAACTACTCAATGTTATTATTAATCAAATATGTTGAACGCTATAAAATTATGTCCTACTTAACTACCTTAAATGACTTAGATGAGTTATTGACACAACTAAAAGATTGACGTCTTCTCTGAAATGCAGAAGTGTTGAAATAATAAATAACCTAAAATGATCGGGTCGAATCACTGGGAGGTTAATTGTATAAATTATAAATAACAACAATACAACAATAACAACAACAATAACAATAATAATAGTAGTAATAGTAAAAAAAGAAGAAGAAGAAGAAGTTGATGAGAACTTTGAGATGGAACATCAATGTAAAGATTAAACAATGATAACAACAAATGTCAAGGTTAGAGGATCCACTAATGGTATTTCAAACAAGTATAGTATAAACTCTTATTACTCAAATGAAAACTACACACAAAGGATGTTCCAATTAGATTATAAATTGTTAACATGATTACATTAGCTATCTTATTTGAATAATACTAATACTTATAAATGTTGTCAAGTATTTATGATTATAACTTATGTTAACGACAAATCAAATTCCTTTCATAACACAAGTGTTGGTTATACCAAACGGTTTGTGCTATGAAAGTGTCAAGCATTTGTTTACCAAGTACTATACAACATAAATCTAGATTAGTTTATTAGTACTTAAAAATACATTTTTATCAAGGTTTTATATCATCATTTTGCACTTGAAGTATCCATAACTCTTTAACTAAAACATGTTTTTATAATAACATATCTAATAATACAAGATACCTTTAATTTATGGTAAATATTCATCTTAAATGCAGGCCTATCACATAAATAACAAGATTGATTAATGAGTTGAAGTATTCAAATTGAAAGGACATAGAGATAGTCAAACTTAGAAAACAGATGCTGGTGCAGTCTAAACTGGAACACTGTTTGGTAATTGGGTCATATCTGGAGCTGTAGATTTGGATTTAGGTCTACTTTATATGGATGAAAAGGTAAGACATTGGCTTACAACTTTCATGTGGAGATCTTGTTTTAATAAGACTGTTTTCAAGTCCAAACTGTAGCAATAACAAAGAGGTTCGAATCTGTCCCGCAACCCAGACATTGTTTAATATTCAGCCCATATCTAGAGTTCTAGAAGTCCAAATGACCTCCATTTTTTTAAAAACAATTGAGACAATTTCCTACAATTCTCATCATTTTCAGAAAATATGGCCGAAGATGATAATCAATCACTTAATAATGATAATATTGAAGATAAGGATAAATGATAAAAGTACATTGTTGTCCCTAGTTTTTATGCAAGTTGACAAATCATATTTTTCATCGAAATAAATCTCTGATCTTTTAAGTTTATATTTTAAACCCTGTAAAATTAAATTAAAATGACAATGAGTTAAAATTAGGTTACAATAAATCATATAAAACTTGTGAAACTTGTTCCTTAGATAAGATGATTTTATTTGAAAGAGTAAAAAATAAAATAAATTGTTAGGTTTTATACATAC